CTTATATACCTCTTCACAGTGCTTTTCCAGCCCTCTCTAAGCTGTTTAGAGTCAGCCTCTTGCCCCCAACCATCTGGGTCCTCATTTTACCAACCTCGGAAGGACAGAAGGCTGAGTCAACCTTGAGCCCATCAGGATCAAACTCTTGGCAGTGGGCAGTGAGTTAGCCTTCAGTACTGGATTCTAACCAGTGTGCCACCACGGCTCTTAAATAAATATTAATCCTTTGCCAAGTGTCTGAATTTTGATCACGCGACCACGGGAATGCTGCAGTGGCCATTACGTTGGGAAAATCGGTCCCAAGTCGCTTTTTTCAGTGCCATTGTAACTTCGAACGGTCGCTAAATGAAGTGTTGTTAAGTCGAGGACTGCCTGTAACGGCATGTGGGAGAGACCTTGGGAGACAGGAGGAAAATTGTACATTCACACGGGCAAGATTCCGTCAATGGAGCTTTGCCATGAAGCAGGATTAACTCGTCTCTGGTCAGGTTTCCGCTCTGGTTCGCCCCGCGAGGCCGACATACTAGTGGTATGTATTTTGGCTGCTCAAAAGGCCGCTTACCAGATGCCGAATCCCATTCCAGGTGTGGTAGGTTACAGGAAGGGCCAAGGCAAACTTGGCAGAATAAATTAGAGCGGGTCCCAGGCTGAGCGACTTAATCACATCCAGGTAGTCGGAAAACTGTCCAGGAAGGACCAAGGCACTTAATGCGAAGAGCGACACACCTGGTGAGGAAACACATCAAGTATGAATAGGACACAGGCAGTCAGTCAGTCTGTCTATCTATCATCTACCTACCTACCGACCTACAGTATCTATCATCTATCATCTATCTATCTATCTATCTATCATCTATCTATCTAATCTATCTATCTATCTATCTATCTATCTATCTATCATCTATCTACCTATCTATCTATCTATCTATCTATCTATCTATCATCTATCTACCTATCTATCTATCTATCTATCTATCTATCTATCTATCTAATCTATCTATCTATCTATCTATCTATCTATCATCATCTATCTATCTATCTATCTATCTAATCTATCTATCTATCTATCTATCTATCTATCTATCTATC